AATGCTAACAAGCTATGTTTAGCTTTATAAGTAAATTTTGATAAGATTATAAGCAAAAAATCTGATATTTAAACCATGATTCTTGTAACGGGATATTCAGGTGCTGGGAATTCAAAGGTTGGAATTCTATATATTGTAATGCCTGTTACAGAAGAAGGTTAAAATATATTATTTTGAAATATATTAAACTTACGCACATATTCTTTTCAAGAAGGAAGGAAACTAAGTTTATAATTTATTAGTTTCTAATGATAAAGTATACATTATACATCTATAGAAAATTTTTCAGAGTTTAAACATGAGGGTTAATTTATCAGCAAAAACCACAACATATGAAATAAAGAATAATGTAATGGCTCATTTCATGCTGGTTTGATACTGGAGAAGAAACCTGTCATAAATCCTTGTATCTGAGATCTGGATACAAATTTAGTTAAGAATGTCTTTAATTCTTGAGGTGGAATTTCACGATGTGCATTCAATTATTCTGACCGCTTAAATATATCACCAGCAAAGTAGATGAAATCAGAATTGTTTTTACGCTATATAGACATGACCGGAGCAATTGAAACAAGCTGTCGTGTGTTATATATACTATTATTGCCGATACCATTCACCTGAAAATTTGTATGGTGCCAAAAGTCTTAACTCAACAATAAAAATTGTAACACCTAAAATTTTTTCAACTTCTTAAAAAAATAAAATTTTAAAAAAATAAACCGGTAACTTTATTCTTTAAGATGAGTACTATTAAATTACCGGTCAGTTTTCCAAAAAAATGTCTAGATAAAAAGTTATAAGCATTTAAAATCAGATGATTTTCATATGACTAGCCCAAATTTGAAACGAATCAAATCACGTGCATATAATTTTATTAGTCGGAATTTAATGATAATTTGGGCTGACACTATCGTTATTATAATTCTGGCCTGAATTATTACAATTAATTATACTCGAAAAAGTCTCTTTTGGATAAATTAAATTTTTTTAGCCAATAATCATTTTTTTTCACATTTAGGTTTAAAATTAATTATTTTTTTTAAAATGCCACGTAAAACAAGAAGACAACAGCAAATTAGCAAGATTCCTAGAAAAAAAGGACGTTATGCATCTCAGGATCAAGTTACTATTGTAGATGAAATTATTGAAGAATGGTCAGAAGATGAGATTGTTGAAAAGTTTGTAGAAAACGAAATTATAGAGAATGTAATTTCTGATAATGAAATAGAAGATGAAACCATTGAAGATTGGCTGAAAGAAGATCTTGAAGCATTTAAAGAAATAGGAAAGAGATTCATTAATGAAACTTTTCATTGGCATGAGAATGCTTCAAGTAATATTAGAGCAATATACACTAGAGATTCAAGAACAGCGCTATGGAGAAAAGAAAAGAAAAAAACAGAATTAGAAAAGTATGCTAAAGAAATAAGAAAGATTGATACTTTCTTCAAATCAGCTTCCGAAGATATTGGATCATTAAAGCAAATGTTAATCGATACAAAGTTGGACTTACATACATGTTTAGAAAAGCTTAATAAATTATGTTCAATAGGAAAATCTAAAAAAGAAAATTATAATATATTTACCTATGATTATGTACGTCTTCTAAGTGTACGTCAATTTATACAGAAATTACTAAATGGAGAAGGAAAAATGGCCGCTAGTAATCAAATTTCTCAGGATATGTGAAATAAAGAAGACTACATGACTCAGTGCATTAGAAAGTGGGGAAGTCATTTTATACAAACTGGTAAGCTTCCTATACATTCTTAAGGAAAGCATATGAAAATTGAAAGCCTTTTGGATGATGAGGATTTTGTTGAAGATTGCCAAGCATAGTTACGAAAATAAGCACCGAAAACGCGTTCTTCCCATAATCTAAAAGTATATATTGAAGAAACATTATTTCTAAGCTTAACAGGAAATATTAAAAAAGATACCATTTCTGAAATAACATGCTGAAATTATATGTGTCTATGGGGGTATAGGTATGATAAAAAGAAGAAGAGTATTTACTATGATGGACATGAAAGGCCAGATGTGATAGAATATAGAAAAGAATGGCTGAAAAGGATGTTCAGATACAAAAAATTTATGAAGGAATTTGATGGTGATATGTTAGATGTTATAATAGAACCCAAACTCAATCCAGGAGAAAAAGAACTTGTTCAGGTGACACATGATGAGTATCACTTTTACGCAAATAATGGGCAATGAAAAGTTTGAATTGGGGAAGAAGAAAGTATTTTACGCTTAAAGCATTTAAGGCATTCTATAATGGTTTCTGGTTTCCTTTGTCCATGCCATGGACCATTACAACTAACCGATAAGCAATTACAAGAAAATCCACACATTAAAGATAAAGATGCTTATGTTCTTCATTCCGTATAAGCAGATGGATATTGGATCTCAGAACATATGATAGAACAGGTTTGGTTAATCTTTTATGATAAAGAAAAAATTTTTTAAATGCTAAACCAACTTACTTTACCTTTATAATATAGCTTGTACAAAAAGCAATTCCAATATTTGAGGTATTACACCCCAGATATATTGGCATTTTTTGTTTCGATCAGTCAACCTACCACAATACTATAGCAGAAGATGCATTGATCGCAACAAGAATGAATTTAGGACCTGGAGAAAAACAACCTAGAATGCGTGATGGGTGTTATATCAATGCATATGGAGATAAATGCAAACAGTTTATGGTGTATCTGAATGACCATCTAGTAGAAAGCCTAAGAGGGAAACCGAAGGGAATCAAAAAAGTCCTTAAGGAATGTAATCTTTGGCCTAAAGAAAGGATTAACTTAGTATGCAAGAAATATTTGGAAAAGGATGTTGATAATGACTTAATAAGATGGAATTGCTGTGCACGACGAATAATAACTTTACAACCTGACTTTCTTGAGCAACGGTCAGTATTAGAAGAAAAAATTGTTAGAGCAGGACATATTTTTGAACGGTATCCAAAGTTTCATTGTGAATGCAACTTTATAGAGCAGTACTGGGGCTTTGCGAAATGAGAAATTAGGGGATTATATAATTATAACTATTCAGATCTATTAGAGCATGTTCCTAAGACTCTTAATAGCGTTCCTATTTCAACTATTCGAAAGTTTGCACGTAAATCATGGAGATATATGGACGCATATGACAGAGGACTAGAGGGCAGAACTGCTGAATGGGCCGTTAACAAATATAAGTCATACCGCCGCTTACCAGAAAATATTAAAAGAATGATGGATGATTAGTAAGATAATTACATTATAATAAAGAAACAAGTACAATACTTAACTTTTATATTATTCTCTTCAGATTTGCAAAAGTTCCTTCACGGTAATATTTTCTTAATCTGAATACATAAAAAAAAAAAAACTTGTCGCGTGGCGTTATTCTAAATTTAACCTCCTTTAGTTGTACATGTTACATGAAATCGTACATTTTTATTGGTCAATTTCATGTCACGTGATAAATGATCGTTGCCAAAAAAATTGAAACAATTGTCGAGTTAAGACTTTCAGCACCATAGTTATAATAAAATAATCAAAAATGTTTAATCAACTCTTTAACAAAAATAAAAAAGAATGAACCAAAAATTAAAAATTCACTTATGTGGCATCTTTAGCCGACCTCAAATTTTAAGATTCCATTTTGAGAAGCAAACATTAAAATATTAAAAATATCTAAAGGCTATAACTTAAATTTATTTATAATTGTTCCTATCCTTTCAAGAATCATGGTTATTGGAGATGAATATAATTTTGGTATTGATATCAAGAATTTAATATCCTGCTACAGTGTTTTCTGATGCGAAAGATCAAGTTAACCTATTTAGTTATTTAATTAAACTCTATTAAATAAATCCTGATCATCCAATTGTCAGCATATCCAGTTCGTGTTCTTTTTCGACAAGCCCAATCACTAATTTAACCATGGCCAGTTGAAAATGTCAAAATAATATTATGTTGCAACGATGGCAACGACGGCAAATTTGGTAAGCTAGTAATTGAATAGTTAAATTTGCTAAGGAACTGAGTAAAATTGGTAGGATAGTTATTGTGGTATAATTGCAATAAAATTCTGTTAAATTTCTATACCTTTGTAACCCTCATTCTTGAATAATTCGAGATAATTCTCCTTGTGATGAATTAGTAGAATAAAATAAAACTTAGTTTTGTTTGTTGAAAATTTAATTCAATTAAGTCATTCTTATATTCTTTATTTGGCTGTTGGACCTGTGGTGAACTTTTTGATATAAAGAAAATAATTTCTAGCAAAATGAAATAATTAATATTGCTTCAAAACTTATTCTTATTAAAAATTTACTTTATTTTAGTATAAAAAAATTACATATTTTATTTTTTTTTGGTATAGTTTTTTTACTCGAACCCAAAGTATTCGAGAGCACAATGATCAAAGTGCTTTTAATATAAATTTAAATGATTTTTGTCAAATATAGACACATGAAACTATTCATTTGGTGTTCTATTTATTAAAAACTTGGGACCAGATAATTTTGTAAATTACTTTGTTATATTTAGCTCTCGTCTCGATTCTTTTATTTAATATTTTTATAAACCTTAAATATGTATATGGAATCTTCTTCTAAAAGCAGAACTAAATTTAATGCATAGCGTTAGCATTGGCATGATTTAACAGCTCTTTTGGATTATCGTTCTTTTATAATTTAGTAGACACTTCGAACTGTGTAAGACGATATTTCATACATTTGATTAATCCAAAATTGTGAAGATTGTTACAGAAATAATCGTGAAAAATTTCAACAAGTAATCAAGGTTCGAGGATAAAGAAGCGATTGATTTATAAATTGAAATTAAAGAGTATAGCTATAATATGAATATTGAAAATGAGCATTAGTTTATTGTTCTCGTGAATCAGTTGGTAGCAAACAAGAAAATACATGTTCTCCCCAACCTTAAAGTGCGAATCAAGGTAATTGACTTTGTAGGAAAGTGACGTAAATACCCTGATTTCTACTCCCCAACTAATTATGGGATAAAAATTTCTTATAATAAATAGATGTTTATTCAATAGTGGTTCGCTATGTTTTGATTTAAAATCTCAGAAGGCCAATTCAAATCAAAATAATTGGACTTATAAAATGTCTGTCAAACAATTAATCAAAATGAACTCCTAGCGTAGAATGACTTTACATGGTGACACACATATGTCTCTATACTCAACTAATTACTACGAATTACCTAAAGATGAAGTAAACAAAGTTTCTTCAACCAATGGCTCTATTTGCAAGAGTCGAAATCTTTATTTAAGTGGAAAATAATGTTAATAAACAACAATTGAAAATTACCAAATATGCTCACTTCATCAACTATTGTCACTTTTATCAAAACCGTCAGTGAAATCTCAGCATCGTCTATGATGTACATCCTATTCTCAATTGTTCATAGAAAATTCACTCATTTACAATAGTCTTCTGTCATACTCAAATGTACAGAAAAAGAAATTTTCAAATGAAAGGGCAAAAGTTCAATTTTTATTGCAAAACAGATGATCAATTCATTACTGATAACGAAAAGTTAAAATTGACACCTTTTTCAAATTGCATTTTTTTTGATTAAATATTATAATCTGGCGAATCGAGCAATTTTACAAAATATTGTAAATAATTCATATTTCAAACGAGTTATTTTATTTTAATATTATAGTTTAAATAAATTACTACACGGAATGAAAAAAAAAAAATAACACTTATCGTTATTTAAACAAATAAATAAAGGAAATGTATTATTATAAATTCATCCACTAAAAAATAAAGAACTTTCTGCAAATATACAAAAAAAAAATGCTAACCTTTCGTTATGACAAGCGATTCTTGAAAATATCGTAAATTCTTGTTGATTATTATAGCACTAAGATTGATTTCAATTACCATTGAGCATATTATTTATAATGCGCACCACAATTTACTAAAATAAAATCTTAAAAAAAACTTTTTTGAATAATAAAATTAAGGAATTACTTCTGTATGCTCGGTTAATGGAGATAGAATTTTGTTTTGTAAATATAGAGAAGTATCGGTATATGATGCCAGATCTTTGCCGCTCCTAGATGTGATATTTCATAAAGCACTCACTCGGATTAAATAAATTGCTCTAAAAATCTAAATTGATTATTTATAAGAATAAAAAATTCGTCTAACGTGACAAAATATCTATATCAATTGAGACCCGCTTCCAGTTGTATATCGTAAATTTTTAATTGAACTTAAATATTTTAAAGTTACAATAGATCCGTTTTTGATTAAATTTAAATCATCCTCAAAATCTTCAATAAATTCATTTATATATAAAATTAATTTTTTCCTTTCTTTTCAAAAATTCAGTTAAAAAATAATCATTTAGAAGTTATATTTTAATGTACTCCTTTTGTTTTACAATTTCATTAATTTCAGCATTATTGTAAAAGTTTTAAAGCTTCACCGCCTTCTCTTTCAGGATTATATTTTTAATAATTGCAATTTCCTTTATTTTTATTCTTGAATAAGTAAAGGAAATTGCCTCTTTAATTTCATTACGCTTTTCAAAACTATCAACTCCACTCGGTATGTAACTATATTTGAGATCTGTAATTTTTTGACAAATTACTGTTACAATAAGCTTGAATACAATTCATCTGAATGAATGTTTCATTATATTTTTGTGAGGGCCATTTTTTTTATTGTGAGAAATTTACATCCAAACAAGAAAAAATAACTGATGGCCTTTCAACTTGAAATCTTTATTATATATAATAAAAAATTGTATCAAACTTCAGTACTAAGAATCGAAAAGTAAAAATTTTATTTTAAAATCATGTTTAATTTTCAATTACATTAGATATGATACTGACACATTTGTGATTACCCTTCTCATCTAGTATATTTCACTATACCATTAACTTAAAGAAAATTTTTTTGGTGTGAATTGCTCATCATGTTTAGGCGCCTATGACCACATTTTAATACCTCATTAAAAAACATATATATTCTTTCTTGTCCTTGCTTTCCAGGATAAAATAACCATAACAGCTACTATAAGTTTCGAGAAAGCTTACATAGTCCTCGGTACCTCGATATCTTGTAAATCCATTGTTATAATTTATGTCTTCGAAAAGATATTTTAATGCCGATATAATAATAGTAATCCGTTAGATTGTAATAAGTTCGTTAATAAACAATTATTTTATTTTTATTTTTTAGTCTTATCAATGTGATTTGTCGTTTGTCATGAGAAAAAGAAGCTTCAATCTTTTGGAACGCGTTATATTTTTAAAATATGGCAAAATCGCATGACCATTTGGACAACTTGATCACGTATCACAAATTGTGCATCCCGTGATCGCGAAGGTTTAAACTAGTAAATGTGCTATTGAAGCGAGCGTCAAAATAATCAATAAATGGCATAAGACCAACATGTAGTATAAAATATAGTAAACCTAATTACTGAAGGAAGATATTTCAAAAATCTCGCATAGTTGAAAATATTCGTTTGGGATCTAAATTTTCCCTGAATATAAAATAGTGTTCGGATATTGGAAAAGAATATAAAGTGTAATATAAATATGTAAATAAATATTTCGATTAACGCGATTAAATTACTCGCTTTCAAAAAAAAAAAAAAATTACAATAAAAAATAGATAAAACTGTAAAATGTGAGTTTATGCATCATCGTCAATAATTAAGAAGAACGTTCGCAGTCGTTGTGACTGTGAGCACAAGGAGCTTTCGATTCGTTGGTTCAATGTATCCTATTTATCATTTAAACATCCAGGCGTGGAAGACATCAAAACAGGGAAGAACGTTCATAGAAAGTATAAAACTCTCTCGTGAGCAAACAAATACGCCAATAATTTACAAGTTTCTGCAATGTATACGAGGGAAATTGCATGACCAATTCTTACAGTTGACCTTTATCATAGAAACTCCCTTCAAGGTTTCTTTATTCCACTGGTCTGAAGGGAGCCCCACTCATCTATGGTCACAAAAAGCTTTCAATTCCCAGATTATTTTTATACCTAGTGACAGTGCAACTTCAGATACACCAAAGACTCGACAAACTACTCAGTAAGATTACTCGCACAACTCACTAAATTTAACAACGCTTTTGTTTCCAATCAGATGAACTTTTAGGATGTTTAATAAAAAAATACTTTAGAAATAAAATTTTGTAATCACAGTATAAATTAGAGAAATTATTATTTACCAAAACAGGCTTAAAGCAACCAAAAATCTTCAAAAAAATTTAAAATATCTAATGAAATATTTTAAAATGAGATAGACTCAATAAGAACAGACAGAATGCAGCTAAATGTATAATAATTAACATATTAACTCGCATAATAGACAAAGCCAAGGGAGACACCACTTGGCTAAAAAAATAAAAATAAAAAAAATAAGAATTTTAGGGGGAATTTATATGACAAAGACGAGGGAAATCTAAAATGTGACGCATAGCGCATTCTTTTCTGTTTAAACGCCATTAAAAAGATAAATGTTGAATATTTTAAAAATGATATGTTCGTCTATATATAACATGGATAAATTCGATATTTTATTTCTGAATTTTATTTCTAATTGGGAGGTTTGCTATTAAAATCGAGTTACGAACATATTAATCATATGATCTGTAACGTGATTTTAATAGCTTACTTCCAAATCATAATATTTTTTATTAGTTACCGTAGGTGTATTTTGGTTGTAAAATTAGACAATCACATAAATAGATTATTTTACCATCTAATTCGTTACAGCAAATATATAAATACTTTGTTGATTTTGTTACACAAAAATATCTAAGCTTTAAGCAATTTATTGTTTTTGTCATTTTGCTCACCAGATTTAAATGCTGAAATTTTGGTTCGAGGATCCAATTAGCTCGAATAATTTGTGTATCAGCGGAATTTAATTTTTTATTTAAGAATAAAAAAAATGTAACAAGTCATGATCGTGACCATTATTATCTCTAGCAATATTGACATTCAATAATTAGGATACTTGGTATCATTTTGAGCTTTTAAGTCAGAACCTTCTTTTAAAATGTCGAATATATATTTTTATAGGTCATGTATCAATGTATAAGCTAAATATATAATCTCAATATGTTCTATTACGCGGTATCCGGACGTTTCGACGAATCCGTTTTGCCGAAACCCACTTCGCCGAAGCTAATTCACCGAAAGGACTCTTCGCCGAACGACCACTTCGCCGAATGGACTTTTCACCGAAAGACGTTTTCGCCGAAATGCTGTTTTGCCGAAATGACGTTTTGCCGAATCCTTTTTACCGAACGGACACATCGCCGAATACGTTTCACCGAAAGGACATTTCGCCGAAAATGACTACTGCGTAACATTTGCTTAACTTATCATTTTTAGGTTCTACATTATAAAGTAAGTTTTTTCCTTAAAATATCGTTGGAAATAATAAAAAGTTCAATAAATCTGGCAAGTTGCTAACAACCAACAGCGAATTATTTTCTTTTTCTGCGAAATGTTTTTTCGGTGAAACGGATTCGGAGAAGTGTCCTTTCGGTAAAACGGATTCGGCAAAACGTCATTTCGGCGAAGCGTCTTCTTGGTGAAATGTTCATTCGGCGAAATGGACATTCGGAGAAGTGGCCGTTCGGCAAAATGTCCTTACAGTGAATTGGCTTCGGCAAAGGGAGTTTCGGCGGAACGGGTTTCGGCGAAACGTACCGTAAACGTATTACGCAAAATAAAAAACAGATTAAAATTAATAGTGATTTATTTTGTTATGTATATCCAATTTTTTTTTCTTTTTTTTGGAATTGACGAAAATTTACATATAGTAGATTTTTTTATATACAATTTTGTAAACATGACGAATAATTTTAAGATTTATGACATCAATATGGTTAAACCATGACATGGATTATGATGTATATCGGTATTGAATTGTAGGCCAATTTTATAATGCATTATTATCCCATCGGTATCATGTATACACCGGTAGAATTTTTGTTACTTACTACACGGGTTTATAATAAGTATATAAATACTGATTATTAATAAATTTATATTAAAGCAATATTTATTATATTAATTTTATACGATTAGTAAATAATACAAATTAGTAATGAATATGAAAATGCACATCCGTGACTGAATTAATTATCTTGGTAATGATAACAATTATATACAGATTCTGCCTTGTAGTTTTGACCATTTAATTTCTTAAGCCATGTAATAAACTTGCATAAAAATTCTTCCAGTTCTTTTCAAGTATCATATTCATTAATATTTTTGTTAAATTAGCCTCTATATTAAATTTATCAACCATACAAAGTTACTTTATTTTATTTTTTTCAAATGTTTTTTAAATATTTTCTAGTGTTTTTAGGTGTTTACGATATTTTTTTTTTAATTGAT